AGGGGTCATTTTGATGTTTCTTTTCAAATATAAAGATAACTGCACTACAGCACTGACATTAGTAGCTGCATTTCTGTGTCAAAAAAAAAAAAAAAAAAAAAAAAGGCAACAACAGAAATGCAGCTTCAAAATGAAAGCTATGGATCTGTTTGAATTGCACCTGGGCTGCAGTTACACCAACTTTTTAAAATAGTTTTCCAATCATTAGAAAATAAATTATTCTGGAGATTCAAAAGCTGAATTAARAAAAAAAAAAAAAAGGCCTAATAAGATCAAGAGGTTTTGATTCCTACAGGAAAATATACTGTGTATATCTGCTGTTTATTAGTATGTACTTCGTTACTTGACAAAGCAAGGAAAGGTAGTGCTCTTTTTATTTAAAAGAACACTTGTAGATTCCTTGAAATGTTGATTCTTAAAATCCTTGTTGAATTCTCAGGCATGTTGTGGCATGCCTGTGGCATTTAGGAACAAGTACTTCTACAAAATGAAAATACTACATTTAAGAAGGTGATACAACTACGTGGCTAAGCTAAGGACGGGAAAACTGATTATAGCTGTGCAAAAGGCCAACATAAAGCATCAAGTTTTTTTGTTTGTTTGTTTTTTACTAACAAAACAGTTGCAATAAAATAGAAACTCCTCTCACAACTGCAGACTAACTACGGGTAGATAAACCAGAGGAAAGCTGACTGGTGTGACCATCAACTTTAACAGTTGAGAAAACTGAAAAATTTCACTGACATAAAGACAAATTCTGTACTACCACAGTAGCCATTGAGTTTCACAGAGCAGTGAAGCTCTGTTCCATATACTGAATCCAACCAGCAGATACCTGTGCCGAACAAATCCTCTTGCATTAAAAACACTGGTTTCCTCACCTGCATTAAATATTTAAGTAAGCAAAAGACTATGCACAGAAGATTGGATAACATGAAAGAGAGTGTTTTTCTTTACATTTCCTCTTCCAGATATATTTCCTGTGTAATCCTGCATGAGCATTTCAGATGACACCACAATTGACAAATTAACAACATGCCTTTCAAGTGAGGGCAAAGAAAAAAAAAATCTTAATTCAGAGTGAAGACTTCAAACTTGGAGCAACATGGTTGTGAAGAACTCTAAATGGTTGTATATTTTCATTCAAATGACATAAGCATGTAAGTTAATCTTCTTAAAAAGCTGACCTGAGCCTTGGTTTTCATGCTTTTCAGGGGGGTAGGAGTTCCTCCTGATGACACGCCTTTTAATTCATCCTTTAACTTGGTGATGCTGTTAGTCAAAATTTCCAGTGTTTTCATGATTTCGGCTTTGTCTTCTGACTTCATGGCTTTATTCTTCTCCAGCTTCGAAATCAGCATCTGCCCAATTTACAAGTTTCTTTTTACTTTTCAATTAGAGCAATATGTGATCATGGATCTGTTGTCAAGTATTTGTTACAAGTAATGGAAAAACAGAGCACTGCACTTCTTCCACCACAGCTTTCAAACTCACTATGGAGGATTTTTAACAATTTATATTCAAATAAAGATTTTCATTTATTCTCTGATTAATTAACTACTAACAAACATCTGACATCTCAATTTTAACTAGCCAGAAGTTACACAATATACCTGGTATTTCACAATTTGTATTCAGCCTTAATCACATTTTGGCCTCTTTCCCCTCCCTATGTCTGAGTACTCCTTTCCTAAAATCACCTCACCTTTTGCTGCAAAGTGGGACTCTCTGGATATCTCTCCTCCCCCAAAACTACACATTTTGCACTCATATTTGGTAATTTCTTCTAAATCACGGAATATTCACAGAATCACAGAATACTCAWGGTTGGAAGGGACCTCTASAGATCATCTAGTCCAACCTTCCTGCTCAAGCAGGCACACCCAGAGCATGTGGCACAGGGCGGCATCCAGGTGGGTTTTGAAGATCTCCAGAGAAGGAGACTCCACAGSCTCCCTGGGCAGCCTGTGCCAGGGCTYTGTCACCCTCACAGGAAAGAAGTTCCTCCTCACATGGAGACGGAACTTCCTGTGCTCCAGCTTGTGGCCATTACCTCTTGTCCTATCGCTGGCCAAATTCTTCTAAATTCTTCTAAAATTGTAATTAAATTGCAGTGGAAGTGTACTAGTAAGACAAGTTGAATTAAAACTCTAAATTGAAAATGATAATATTATCTCAAAAGAAAACAGGAATACTTTATAGGACAATTATAGTAACTTATGCTTAAAAGCTTTRAAAGACTTTAACAATGTGAATGGAGATTTACAACTAAATTGCCCATTTTTTAACAATAACATTTTACCTTTTGTGTTTCAATGTGCTTCTCTAGGATTTCTTGCTTCTTTTTTCTCACATCTTGTTGAAGTCGTAATGCTTCCTGGAAGTATAAAAACATAAGAGAAGGTTTCTGGATTTTGCAAACAATGTCAGAAGAAAATATACTATAGCTGACAACTCTTCAGCAGTAACTGACTATGGTTTTTCTGTTAACAGTTWAAAAAATAAATAAAAAATACACACCACTTAACACAAAAAAGCCCCTCACTAAAAGAAGCATGAAGTACAAATAGGGAATATTTAAAGTTATATTTAGAAAAACTAAGCAACACCAAACTAGTGGCAGAGGCCATGTCCTACCCTGCATACAGCTGTGCCTGGATCTGTGCTGGCAAACACTAAACCTCACTATAACTTCTGTTAAGGGCAATCTCTTATACAACTCCAGTAAAGCTGAAAGGCCAAACAGCCCCCTACCACAGGAGCCACAAGCACACTAACAACMCATGGGAGTCCAGGCATGCAAGGGCAGCATCTTGAAAGCAACTGCACGTCAAGCCCATTAATTAAACACAATCCAGGGTACAATTCCAGGCCAAAAAAAAAAAAAAAAAAAGAGAGAGAGAGAGAGAAAAAAAAAAGTTGCCAATAGAAAATCATCTCTTTTGCATCTGACTAGTTCAACCTGGAACAGCCAAGCACTATTGCTCTAACTGCTAAAGAGAGACACCTGACACTGTACCTGGCAAACTGAGTGGAACTGAGGAATTGGGAACACTCCGCACTTAGGAGGAGCAGCAGCAGCTGACACAGCTGCTGTGCTCAGCTCCTCCTAATGCTGCTCGGGAGAAAGCACCTGCTTCTTGCTCTGGGATACAGAATGAAAAGGGCCTTAGATACCAAGATATTTGCAGAAAACAACAGAGCTTTGAGATCAACATATCTGACAGGATAAGAGAGGAGAGGCAGAAGATGATTTTGCACTTCTGCATCACCATTTGGACAGGATCAGACTGCAGTTGTAAGTGCCTGACACAAGGATGTAAAAGCCCAATTGAAAAATGAAATAGTCACACTGCCTGTAAGCCCCAAATAACCAAAAATTATGCTCTGTGGAATACAGTTTGCAACCATTTTTTTCTGAATGGAAAAGGAAGACAAGACATAGGGATGAATGCAAAGAAAAACTAGAGAGATGGAGGAGCAAAGGAGGAAATGAGTCCCACAAAACCATGTTTTTCCACAGCTGCTGGTATATTGCAATATTTAAAGACAGCAAAAACCACCAGAAAGAAAAAAAGGAACCAAGCACATGACAAGGCTCCAGGGCAGCCTTTTTTTTTTTTTTTTTTTTAGCCATCTTAAAGGCTTTTAGTTTCTTAAGGGGTAAGGCCAAGGCTCTAACTTCTGAAAAACATGTTTTAGGGGACAAATATGAAATGAAAAATCAAAACTAGAAGTGCTTTCTTGAGAGTGTCGCCCAATGCCACCGATGACATGCAGCTGCATATTGCTATGGCAAGCCAAGTTTGACATTAGTTCCTGAAGTTTACCATTGGGGGCTATGTTTTTCATTTAAGGGTTATTCTGATTTCAGTGCTTCTGTGTAAGGCTCAGATGATGCATTTAGCTCTTCCTTTGTAACTTAAAACCAGTAAGGTAAACACTGTTCTACATTTAATTTCTCTGAATTATCAAGAAACTAAAGACATTTCTGTTAAGAAGTCTAAAACAGAAGCTTAACTGGGCTCTTCTGATAATCCAGCTAAAGTAAACTATGACTAGGCAACAACTCACGCAGAGATGACAAAATGCACTTTTTTGTATTTTCAGTTTAATCTAAAAATTAAGGAGAAAAATATAGTCCGATGCAGAAACAAAAATGGATGGTGAAGAACTGCAGTTTGAAAATAAAGTAGTAAAATAGAGTTCTCTCCAAGTTTGCTCACTACAAATTCAAAATACGACGAGAATAAAGGCCGGTTGCTTCAGAAGAGCTTCAGGGAGAAGGACAGGGATTACACAACTTCTCGCTCATTAGGGACCACGTAAGGGCAAGGAGATCCTGTTCCAATGGAACAAATTCCCTTATTCTGAGCTACTAAAGAGGTGCCTGCACTGCCATAAAAAGAGAAAATAAAGGGGAAAAAAAAAGAAAGTAACAGAACTAACAGCCATTTTTGTTTTGTACTTTGAAAAAAAACCACAGCAGCAAAATCTAATCTTACTAACTAGTCCATCTAAGCTCTCAAGATGAATATACATCGTGCACTACCTCTAGCGGTCACAAATTCTCAATCTAGGTCCATTTTGTAAAGAAGGGTTTTAATTTACCTGTTTTTTCTTCTGTGCTTCATTAGAGTCTAGCACGGAAGTGGAAACAACAGGCAAAGATTTCTGTGCTGCCTTCAAAGCAGCAGGGTTGTACACAGTTTTTGTCAAGCCAGTAGAAGTGGATAAAACCTATAGAAGGAAATTGTTTTATTTTTTGCCAGTGAATTTCCATTTTAAAAAAATAACAAACAAACATGAGTGCTTCAAAATACTTAAGTCTTTTGTCGATTCCAATAATGCGGAATATTAAAATTTGGTGAAACAAGTATGCTTGGAGTAGCTGAAGTCCATTTTTTTTTTWAAAAAAAAAGGTAACAAAGTCAGATATATAAGAATGATGAGCAGATTATAAATCCTTTATGCTGAGAGTTCGTATGTACTTCAAAGTTTGAAATACATAAAGTACTGGAGCATGATTAAGGAAACAGGAGACAGACTGCCCAAGAAAAACTTTCTTATTTAAATATGTTGTTTTAAGATCAATTTCCAAGGCTAAATTTTCTGAGGGGAAAAAAAAAAAAAAAAAAAAAAAAGGAATTTTAGAGACTAAGGCCCAAAGGGGCCAGAACAGCTCCTTTTCATACTCAGGTTTGAAGATACCCAGCCAAGAAGATTTACTTGAGTATAGGGAAGTCTGACACATTGTACAGCAAAGGAAGAGCCTAAGTCCCTCTGTTCTCCTTCCTAAACTTCCAGTAACATATGGAAATTTCTCTCTAACTTAGGAACAGCACAAATGTTTCTACTGTAGTGCCTCTCTAGGATATATTCTCTACAATACTTGAGAATTTGGGCTTCTCTGTTTCTTATCTATTTCCGCAAAGGCCATTTTGGCTACAGCAGCACTGGAAAAATCRTCTGACTGCTGCGGATGATGATCCCGGTGCGACCTTGTCTTCCGTGYCAGCAACTCACAGCGGTGATACAAATCACTAGCAAATTCTAGGAGTTTAATAATGATTTTCACTTTGTGCACAAAGTAAGAGGTTCATGCAACATCTACTGGTCACCATGCACTCCCTGAAAATCAACAGTGCCCAAAGACAGGGGAAAAAAGTGACAGCCAAGAAACAATAGAAAGACGGGGAAGATTAGAGAGCAGAAGAATTTACAATGGAAGGCTTCATACACAACCTTTACTCTTCATTGTGCTATTGATACTAACTCTTTCAACAGCATTTTCTAGGATAGATGGTGCAAATATTTTCTTTCTTTGAAAAAGGCAAAGCAGGTAAGGGGGTATTAAAAAGGTGCTACCAAGTCCTTTAAGCAGTCTGTTACAAAGGAAATGAAGTCAATGTTCTTAAAYCTTTTCTAGAACACATCACCATACGCTACCACTCGCATCCCCCACATTTAGGAGATGCCTCCTCATAGACAAGCAAAGGACCAGAACTAAACTCACTGACACGCTCCCTGAGCCAAGCTCACTCATTATCCCCTTTAATGCCAGTTCACAGCAGACGAACCCGCTTCCACTAACACAGAACAGTAAGAGGCAAAACAGAAATGTCTTGCAGAGGTCTAAGCAGTACTCATGAGAAAGAATACTGTGAATCTCTTCCCGAGCTCATAAACAGTAAGGACAGTTTCTGTGCAGATCTTAAAAGGCCTCGCTCGCAATGACTGTTTCAGCTTCCTTTMCTCCTGCTCCACAAGAGGCAAAGCCAGTCCTTTTGCCTTCCTTTGCTCCCCCCCGGGGAGGCAAAGCCAGTCCTCATGCCCTGCTCTCGGCCGGCAGCAGAGAGGCATCTGTAACACGAGGACTGTGACGTGTGACAGCTGTTGCTACGTCCATTTCTCATCACCACCGACCAGAGCCACTGCTGAAGCAGCAGGGAATTCCCTTGTGAAGGGAAAAAAACAGCCCAAAAGAGGTCAGAGCCAGTTTCAGAAGCCCGTGCCAAGGAAAAGGCTGCTTCACAATCAATCCATTAACGAGCCCAGCAGCTAATCCCTCCTATAAGGCAACACAACACAGTCATTTTAGCATGGATTTGCTCTGCTCTTTCTGGGTGAGCCACTCGTATGCGAAGAGCAGAAGAAACTCTTCTTCTTTGAACTGAAGCAGACATTACTATTAAAACAAGTATTATTATGGCACACCTGTAAGTTGTAGTTCAGCAATACCCTGCAAGACATTTATCTGCAATAATTAAGGGCCACAAGACTGCAACTAATTAACTCAAACTAGAATACAGGCAAGAAGCCAAGATCAGTGTATGCAAGTGGACTGCTTGGCTTGACTCAAAATGAGTCAGACATCCTCTACATTTACAGCTCAACGTTAAATCCTGGTATTTTTGTGTGCAAAATAAGCAGAGAACTGAATTTAGAGTGAATTCCACTGATTACGTTTCACTCTATGCATTATCTGATGCACTGCCAAGGGGAAACAACTRCTGAGGATGCATGATCCACTTCAGGTCAGGCCAATGCAAAACAGAAGAGATGCATACCCAGGCAGAGACACCTTTTTATTGGGGGAAATTTGCTGCTTTCCTAACAAAACTCTTCTGCACTGAACACTGTAAATCCTGGGGAGACCAGACCTCTAAATCATCTGGAACAGAATGGATCTAGGGAGATCTGGGGCAGGCATCAAGAATTTCACTACTAAGGTAAACACACGAGCCCATGTTCTGAAAATTGCAACCACCAGGCAAAATATGTAACAACTGATAATCACCATTGAGGTGTCTTTCCCACCTACCTCACTCTGTCTTTTGTATGTTCTCTTTTATCTTTCCTCAAGTACTTCAAATTTTAAGATCAACCAAGTAAGAGAGAAATGGTTTACAGCATCACCTTTCAAGRGATACAAACCCCCAAACATAGAAATGCTTTCTATAAAAAAAATGTAATATTAGTTTTTATTTAAGATTTATTTCTTTTTTCTTTCAACAGCTCAGGATCCTGGACATTCCTAGCCACTTCTACGATGAACACAAGAAAATTGTGATGAACTTCTACRATGAACACAAATTCAGAGAAAATCTATTACAGCAAAAAAACGGAATAGCAGCTTCTCTCCTTCATTCTTGTTGTAGCCATTTGCTAACCTGAGTTTCTATATATCAGTTTAACTTGACTCATAGTTATGAAACAACAGGAACACTGATATAACAAAACACATTCTCTTGAAGATCTAACATGGGAGGAAGCGACAAGAGGGAAGCACTCACCTTTTCAGTTGTCGGAGTAACTGGTTTTGACACAAACCCCAGTCTATCTTTCACAGATAACTTAGTCACATTCTAAGAAAACAAAGCAAAATTATCCTCCAAATATGTTTAACTTGATGAATCCATACGTTAGTAATTTAGCAAAGCAGTTTTATAAAGATTAGTAAGAACAGACTTCCGAGCAATAATTCAAGAAAAACATTAAAGCATCTGTATTTTAGACATAGAATTTTACTGATAACTTACACCTGTATCTTGTRAACAGGCTGGCACATACAAGGATACAGCCAAATGTGGAATTATAGAATAGACTAGATATTCTTCTGAAACTAACCCACGACATGTTTAAAGACAGAGAATTACCAGTATGGCTCTTTAAATATTTCCAAAAAGTATTTAAAACTCTTAAATAGATTAACTTTGAACTCCAGTTACTGTGTTACAGAAGCTCTGATGGAAGGCATCAAACACTGGATGTTACGTTTTGAATTTACGGAACATASAGGTTGTAAAATTGGGGCTTTCCTCTTTTTCACAAGAAAAATGCAAGCAATGGTTCAATGCTAATAACCAAGGACTTCCAATATAACCAAAATTGAGTCTATATAAAATTGAGGGTACCATGATAAATTATGTCATGATCCACAGGGGTTCTATAGTTATGTTCTTCCTCATTTGAAGGATGATGTACAAATACTGAAAATACTTCCGAAGTCGGTCCTTAGTCCCTAATGGTTTTAGTAACTAATGGAACCACTGACTTATGAGGAGTTCAGTTATTGCACGTTTTTTTTTTGACAATTCATAGATGTAACAAGCAATTATTAGAGTTATTTTAGTTGCCAGCAGTAGCACAACCTATATAAACAGGCACATTAATTAACTTGTGATACAATACATATAACACAGAAGTTTGAAAACAGTTTTTCTTAAAAAGAAATCACTCTGATCTCTGAGGGTTTTGGTAAAATGTGGGAATTAGATAAGTCTGGACTAAATTTTTTTCTTTAGTTTTCATAAAAATTATAACGTAAAATCCAGCAATGAGCTTGCCAAGCATTGCTTTTAGTTCCGTGGTTAGGGATTAGCAAGGGCAAGAAAAAACAGTGACTCATGCTCAAAAGATTTACACTGACCAATAGTACAACACACACACAGGGACTCAACATATAGAGAAGGAAAGAGAGTATTTAGTATCTCTATTGGCCTTTAAAAACAGCTATGTGGGAGCCTTTTAAATAAGTATATAGCAACACATGCTTTATATAGCAAAAACAATAGTTTTTATTTTCAAACTCAGAATGTGCAACTTAAAGATTAATGAAATATTGCAGGGCTTTGATTTTAAGCACAACAAAAAGCTAGTGCACATAAAAGTGAGTAGTACTCTTTGGTATAAAAGACATTTCACTGCATGTAGAGAGAAACTTTTGTATAAGAAGCTTCACAACCAAACAGAGTGTATTTTAATATGGTAAACGCCTGTTTATAACACCTGAGTGAGCTGTTTATGGTCCCTGAACWGTTGGCAGGCCTTTGGGCATTAGAGGAGGCAACAAGGAGCASAGCGCGTGCGGCGGGCACCTACCTGCGCGGCGTCGGCGCCGGCACTCTGCGCCTCCGCGGGCTCCATGTTGCCTGCGGGCACCGGGCCCAGGCGCTCCTTCACCGACTGCTTCACCACGGGCAGGCTGGGCTGCGGAACCAGCGGCTGCAGCACCTGCAGCGACAGCGCCRGGAGAGCGGCACGTGGGACACGAGCAGCAACGGGAGCAGGAGGCCGCTTCCTGGCAGGAAGCGGCGCCGAGGAGCCCCCGGCCAGGAGGCCTCTTCTGCCTCCGGGCGCACGGAGGCCGCGTGGGGCCCCGGCGCCGGGCCAAGCTCTCTAGCCCCATCCTGCACCCAGATGTCCCCTGGCAGCCGCTGTTGCGGCCACACGAGTTGGAGAGAGAGGCACCCAGTCGCCTCTGTCACCTCTCTGGGCATCCTCTATCATGGAGGGAATGAAGGGAGAGCACTTCATTGAAATACCTGAGGGGAGAATGTAGGGAAGAAGAGGCCAGACTCTTCTCAGTGGTGGCCAGTGACAGGACAAGGGGCAGTGGGTACAAATTGAAACAAAGGAAGCTCCAACTCCAGGTGAGGAAGAACTGCTTTCCTGTGAGGGTGMCAGAGGCCTGGAACAGGCTGCCCAGGGAGCCTGTGGAGTCTCCTTCTCTGGAGATCTTCCCAACCCACCTGGATGCCGCCCTGTGCCCCGKGCTCTGGGTGTCCCCGCTGGAGCAGGGGGTTGGACTAGATGATCTCTAGAGGTTCCTGCCAACCTCAACCATCCTGTGATTCTGGAATTTCCCTACCATTTACCAGYAGAAAATGTTTTTAATGTCTAATTGAAATCTCCTGTCTTTTTAAGCCTTCTTATGCCTACCACAGAAATGGAGACAGGTGGCAGAAGCCTTTTATTTATTTGATGTTTTATTACGTCTGACTCTCACCAGCTTTACTAATTCTCCTGCCCCTTTCAGAACCCTTCTGAATTACAGGGCCCCAAGCAACCAAATTAATCCAGTCTAGACTACTGGATTGGTCAAGAAATTGAGCAAATGTGTAGAACTAAATATTACTGAAGGGATAATTGATCTTAGGAGAAATCTGTCTTTGGTGCAGATATTAAATAAATAAAAATCTGTCTAGAACCACTGTGCACACAGGTGAACTTAAATTAGCAAATAGTGGAAACCTTGACAAAAATGGAAGTGCTAAAAGAGAACAGTTTCGAAAATGCATTATGAATGTGATACCAAATACTAATTTCAGCTAAAAAAGGAGGTAATTRTTTATGGTTAAGAAATGTTTATGAATTAGAAACACCATCTCTCTCATCCAGCTGCTGTTAATTCTCACCTTGCGGGGTAGACAGAAGACAAAAGTATCGCCCTTATTCCTTCCTAAATTCCAGATTTTATTTTTTGTGCCCTCTCCTGAACAGATTTCAGACTTTAGTCTCTTGATACATGATGAAGAGTTGCTGTCTACGAAGCAGGGCCCCTTAACACTTTTACTTGGCACCAGGGGAAATCCAACTGCAAACCGCCAAGGTTAATGTGCCAGAGGTGTCGTGTTARCATGACTACAAAACGTAAGACTATTTAAAACGGATGTCCTGTCTGGTAAGGAATGTGTAGCACAGACATCTGTTTGGATATGTTCAGTCAATATTCCAGTTTGGATGTTGCAATCAGCATGTACACTGATGGCAGCAACCACTAATTGCTCAGCTGTCCTATTCAAGAGAGGAAATGTCTATATTAACGTATAGGGTCTATATTGATGTATGTGACATTCTTCAGCACTCTTTTCTGTCTGATCAGGTGCAAGTCAAGCTTAGTAAAAACACGCTTGAGTTTTGGAAGCAGCACTGMTTCAAGATCAACCTGCAAGGATATTTATCAGTTTACATTCATAATCAATACAAAGGATGGTAACCAGGAGAGTGTGAATGGGAGTAATTAAAACTATATTTGTGTTGATTAAAAGCACCCCTATTGGCACAAAAACAGGGAGACACAGGAAACTGATGCCTAGAACATCGACAGAAGGACTGCACTTGGAAAACTAAACCCTTGATTCTGAAAGGCAGTGTACACCACGACGAGTGAGAAGGCATCAAAAGTTGGAGTAGCATTGAAAAAATCCTCTCATAAACAGCTCATTCCACAGCACACAGAAACATGAGCACGTTCCTGGTGCAAAGCCCTTCTCATACTTTAAGTGTAGAATGGGTTGCTTCACACTGATAACAAATCCAGTAATGCAGGATTCCCAAACAGGTGGATGAATTTGCAATWCCAGGAGCTAACTGACAAACATCCATGCAACAACCTACGTAACTTAGGAGAATCCAGACACCTCTGTAATTCCTGGCAGAGCTACAGTCTTGCTAAGAAAGCTGGTTTGCTTTGCCCACAGCTTACCACTACAGTAATTACTCTAACACTCCCAAACCTGTCAGTGTTTCTATGCACCTGACAATTACCTGTAGATGCTTCACTCTGCAGGACAGCCCCAAAAAGGAGAATGTCCCTAATTTGCTCCCACAGAACTAGGCTAATGCAGCTCCCCTCTTCTACAGTAAGGATTACAGAGCAGAGCACTTCTGTGCAACACAGACTATACCGCTCCATCCTACTGCAGGATCAACAGGACAGGAAAAAGGAGAGAAATAGAAAATAAAAATGTACCCTTGGCAGGAAAAGGGAGATTGGTATTTCTTTTTTTCTGGAAAGATAATCTGCTGGCTTTCTCATGCTTACCAGGGGAAAAAAAAAAAAAAAAAAGCTATTTCAGTTAAAACAAACTAGCAGTTATTTGGCACCCAGTAGCATCAAACCTTGCTTCGCATGAGACAAGTACTAGACTGATTCTGTGACTGAGAAAGTCACAGAATGGTTTTAAACACATTAAGTACTTTGCTAATCAAATCCTGTACSTTGTATCTACAGAGTCCAAAAATCTACAATTAAAGTGTAACCTTTAGGGAAAAAAATGACTTAATTCACTATTTCAAGAGTACCTGGTTTACTTTCTCTAAAGATTTCTAAAATCTAACAGTTTARAAAGAGTATATTTTACACAGAGTTCTAGACAGAAGGTCCTCTACCTTGGGTGCAGTAGTCTGCARTGGTGGTACACTGCCTTCTCGATGCCAATAAACTTTAATAAAGCGATTATTTAATACTGCTTCTGTACTTGATATAGCTTTCTTTGCTTCCTCGTGTGTGGCAAACTGAATGAGGGCACCTTCTGGATCACCTTGATATGCAACCTACGGTTTAAACAGAACAACCAAACTTAGGAASGCAGGATTTTTATTCATGTAAACATGACTGTAAAATCACTTGTTTCAGAGGTTCAAAAGTTTATTATTTATACCCAATACAGGTCAGCAGATGAGTATTTCCTATTCACGATCCTGTCTGAAAGGTCTGCTGCTAAAAAGCAACAATGCAATTAAGTTAATAAAGTTCAAGAACGCTCTTAAAGAGGGAAAAAAAAAGTGAAATGTCTAAAGTTAAACAGAATTTCCAAATCGTGGCCACGAGTGGTTGTTTGAGAGAGGCAGAAGCAGCAGGCGAGTAAAGACAGTGTCTGTAACCAACAGAGGAGGCCCTTACCCACCATCCTAGCTACACAACAGAGCATTCTCACTGTCCTTTGGATTGCAGTTTATGATTCCAGACACTTTGAAAGCACAAACTTGTACCTTTGGCAAGAGGAGCAGAGCTCGCTCTAGCTCCTGCTTCCTCTCTGCATACACATACACACGTATGTTTCCTTTCCTTACCGAATCATACTGTCTAATAATACTCCCATACTGTGAGGTATCCTATTGAGTGGCTTAAGAAATGTTCAGGAGCAATTAAGAGATCCCAATTCTGTCAGTGCTGTGATGGGTGAGGGAGGTTAATTCTGTACTGAAGCAACATACACAATAAATATTCTATTGCCACCTCTYGATCCAACTTCCCAAAGTAAACAAGCAATTGTACATGAAAGCACCATGTACAAAGCTTATTACTGCTGATAAAGACACACGATGAAATGTCAGAGAATGCAGCACAAACCTGGGGTACAAAATGCTGACCTTACCCATGCAGCCTGCCATACGTAACGTTAACATAAACTAAGCTCCAGCTCTTGGTATTTCTTTTGTATCTTTTCTCTAATCGTTTACTTATTTCTGCTTATAAGCCTTTACGTAAAAAAAGTACTTTTTTTTTTTATGTTGACTCTTACCTGTAAGTTTACTAAGTTGCCAAATTTACTGAAATGTTCATTAAGTTTGCTGATATTGTTAAGTTCTGGGGGAACTTTCCTCAATTCAAGTTTCGTATTTTCATTTCCAAACTGTACCTTCTTCGGGAAACCTGGGCTATTTGTTCTGTTAAAATTTTGCCTGCAATAAGATAAAAAAACAAAAAAAAAGCAAGCCAGAAATCCATAGCAAGCTAGCAAATATAACATTACGTTTTATACACCCACACAGGAGAAGAGCTATACACCTAAACACCACCATTTTAGAGGAGCTGGAAAGAGCACAAGCTCATATACCTGCAAATCCTCTACCCAAACCCTCAGCGTTCTCTAGGGCATAAATCCGCAAGATAATTCCCAACAATGCCCTCCTGTCAATGACTTTCTACTTCATGGTGTCTCTTTTCTTCAAAAACGATTTTCCAAAATCTTCCAATTCCTTCCTGCAATATCTCCCAAGGCTTTCCTCCAACCCAGGTAATCTCTCCTCACCTTCCATCCTTTGGTCACCTCAGATAAATCTGCACTCCATACTCTTTGTCAGTAACATATCCTAAAACTCAATCCATGTTTGGGCAGTGATACGGGTCACATTTCAAAACTAAAACCAGCCACCCTTAATGCCTAAGACACTGCAGCTTCTCTATTCCTTGGATCATTCCAGGTGTGGGGAAGTAGATCTCATTATCATCCCAAGCAATTTCAGTTATCTCTATACTGTCTTTGAGAGAAGACAGACAAACACAGACCCTCCACAGTAGGGTTAATTTTAACACATTCATCTCACTCACAGTCAAGATTGTTTCTAAATTATATTGGTTTATATTTGTTTCAGATGATGGAAAAGAGCTCCAACAGACTCCAACTATCAAGGCAACTTTGCATTCATCATCACTCACTTGTCAAACCAAGTCTTCTTAGTCGGAACTCCGCCTTCCCCTGCACCAATTGTTCTTTTCCTGGACTCTGCATCTACCACTATTCTCATGCTACTTTTATTAGCAGGTTTTTCTGTAAAAAGATGAGAGACATTGAATTGGTTTTGCATTTGCTTACTCACACTGACCGTGCACTGAAAAACAAATGGTTTATCCTGGAATGATTATTATCCTTGTTCAAACCGGATCAAATCTTGGTCACAGATTCAGGGTCTTACAGATTAGCAGATGCTGCAGCAGATCAAAATAGCTAATAGCTTGAGTTTTGTCTAAAAAACATCATGTATAAGGGAAAAAATACATGTGACAGAGGCATCTGCCACAAAAAGATTTAGCTCACTCCCAATGTCTCACAAGATACTCTATCATTACTCCCAACACCTCCATTCTACTCTTGTATGACACACAAGAGAGAAAAATTGTCAACAACTGGAAATGCAGGGTGCTCCGAAGCACCTAGGAGGAGCTTTTGGCGAGGTGCTGGCTCTTGCTGAAGAGCATGAATCAAAATGGGGAACTCTTCACTGAAAATGTATCAATGAAAACTTCAGAAGACTAAATACAAGCAAATAAAAATATGAATAAACCCACATCTAAAGAATTCATATCCACCTTCCCCTTTCATATGCTGCTTCCTTTTCTCATGGCCATGGAAACTGTAAGCTACTTAAGTATAGCTGGCTGCTACCAGCTATAATGACCCCAGTCCCTCCGCAACAAAAAAATCCTAAGGTTTTATTACAAAAAGGTAAGATTTTTCTATTTAAGAGATGTTCAAAGTGTCTGGYTATTAGGTTTAGGAAGTGTGTACTCCATACAATCCACACAATAGATTTCACTGTACCTGTAAAAAGGCAAAACAACATATCAGTATAATTCCCTGTTCAGTTATATTTCTCTTAAAACCAAATGTTTCATTGAATTTATTTTCCAGTATCACATTCTCTGAGAGATGCCTCAATTGCCAGCAATGTAAGAGAGCAGCTAGATTAGCAAGCATGGCTTTGAGACCCTACCTCTGGGTGGCAGGTCCATATCACCTGATGTGAGTCCTATCAAATTTGGTCTTTGAGCATGCACTCTGTGTCTGTACATGGGTCTTGAAGTGTTTGTTATACTTGGAGCTTCTGGATTATAGCCATCTGTGTCATACGTTTCTGGTAACAAAGAGATTGTCTAATTAAAATAAGTTGCAGTCAAAAAAGAAAAACTTGCAAATGTAATACTTCATTTAGTTACAAGGTTCAATTACAATAGAAATTCTGTTTCAGAACATTATTATTTAAAAAAAAAACCATGACATTAAACAGCATGACAAGCTTTTGCTTAAACACAATTTAAACACAGTATTATTCCCTATGCAAGATTCACGTTTCACATGCAAATTTTATTTGTCTTAAGTTAGAAAAAAAAAACCTGTTATGTTACTGTCATAGTCTAAAAGATAAAACTTATTCTATCAAATAATAACATGTCAAACGAGTAAAACAGAAATCAAGGTTATTCTATTTAGCAAACCTTGTGGGCAAAGCCTCAGTACTACACCTGCTGTGAAAAGAGAGGGTGGAGCAGGAGGCGGCTGGTGATGAATCCCAGTGGTAACAACAGCAGGAACGGAGCTCGTGGCTGAGTTGGGGGGGGCATCCATGCCAGCAGGCTGCAGGGGCGGGAGGGGAGGGGGTGGTCCTGGCAAATGCAAAGAACAATACTGCATTACCCACGAGGTGGACACTGAGGTCAGAAGGAACTGGGTTTGAAGGTATCTTAGAGCTATTAATCTATGCAT